TATTTCGGAAAATTTGTGTTTTGATAATCAGCGGAAAGAGTTCCCCTTATTCTAATATTAAAGCAATTAATTTTTGTTTAAAACAATTTAATATTATATCTAATTATATATTGTAAATTACTAGTGATAATCACCAGTTATAACATGTAGCAATTTTGTTTTTTTTATTTATTTAAAATTTTAAGCAAATTTATCTAGAAAACGGCTTAAAAGAAAATTATGGCTAAGACCAGTGTTGGCACGGGACAACTTTGGACAATTGTGAACAAATTTGAATAAAAAAACAAATCTAAATTACTCAAAATTTTATTAAAATAACTTATTTTAATATTTTAAGCAAAAATATTCAGAACTATACAAAATATACAGTACTGTATAATCATATCTTTTTCCAATTTCTTAAATTTTAAAGTCTAAATATTCTTTGGACAATTGTGAACACTGTGGACGTTTGGACGTGGACATGGGCAAAAAAAGTCTTGGATATAGTAGACGTGACAACACTGGCTAAGACCATACAAATTTAATATTTTGGTTTTTATAAAATCCAGTCGGTTAGCTTTTTTAAAAAATTTCATATCTAACAATTTTTTAAAAATCCCACCCGATTATAAAAACATAAATTCTTCTAAAAGTTTTCAAAATTTGACCCGGCCGGGTTATAATTAAAAAAATTTTTGATTTATTTGAAGATTTAAATACTATATTCCAATCATAGCTAATACAGTATTTAAAAAATTTTATTAAATATTAAAAAAAAAAATAAATCAAATATTGTTAATTTGTAATATTCAAATTTGAATGCTTGAGCTGACGCTTTAAGGGACAGTTTAATCGTTAAAATTAGATTAAAGTTACATCCTTTAAACACGCAACTCCCTTAAATGCATTACCTCAATAAATAACACAAAATCTAAAAATATAATTCAAGTTCGACTGAGGGATCTTCATTCAGATCAATGAATAATTCTTTATACGTATAGGACCCGGATAATTCTAAAAGAGGTGGTATTGCTAAAATTGGACATTTTTTGGTCAAAATTCTAATCTTTTGACCCAAACTTTTCTAAATTCTGAAATTTAATTTTTATTTCGACCAGAATTTAGAAAAGTTTGGACCAAAAAAATGGGTAATAATACTACCTTTTTTAGAATTATCCGGGGACCTCTTTATATTTTCCTGTAAACAATCTAGTGCTAGAAAGTACTCGATATATTTTTTTAATTAATAAATTACATAGTTCATAATTATAATAATAGGTAATGCGGAAATATATTAAAAATTTTTCTTTGTACATATAGTAAAATAAAGAAAAAGTAGATGCACTAGCAAATTTTAAAGATATGATTGGAAGGAAAAAAGGCACCACCATAAGATCAGGCCAATTCATACCACCATTTATTTATTCGAGATATGACTTTTATTTTCTTAGAACTTGGAGAAATGATTTCCATCTTCACCCAGATTTGAATAAGAGTACAGCGATTTGACCGACATAGAAATAGATGAAATGTTTGGTTTCTTTCGTCGTAGATTATGAATTGTATGAAACAATAAATTAAGAAGAAAAAAAAAAAATTAATAATTGAAAATTAATTCTTTGGATCGCGTTGTTCTGCGCGTTTTCAGAATCAATTTCAGCAGATTTATATAATAGACATTTTTTGATTCTAATTTCATCGCATAATTTCTTATCAAACAAAAAATAAGATTTTATAAATGTAACCAATTAACGGGCAAAATACAAAAAAAAACCCCCAATTTCCTTCTATGCTTTGATTTAGTACAAATAGTTTTAGGTCATATTATCGACATACCGTGAGTCACATAGCTTCCAAAATTCCTGCCGACAATACAGTGCCAGGTTGTGCCATACTTTTTATCGAATTCACGCTTGATATAAGCAGCGATATCTTTTTCAAGATTATATTTCTCCAAAGCTGTGTTGGCGCAATCTAGAGCTTCTTGCTGCATATCATCGTTCATGTCAACGTTCTTGACGACAACTTTGCTGTCAGCCATTATTCTGAGCTGTTCTCTTTGGCAAACTGAGTGTGTATGCTCAAATAAACCGTCAAGAATAAGTAATATCCTGCCTTTTTTTTTTTTTTTTTTTTTTCTACAAATCTTAAACGGTATCGGTAAACAGTTGAACAGAAATTTTCATATGTACGGATTTTTTATTTATAGCAATTGGATAATTTTAAAGAATTAAATTGATTTTATTTGTTAATGACGCAGATCGTTACACTATACGTATTAACTTGTAATCAAATGTTAACAAGCACAATTGTCGATTTTCGAGTTTGGATATGCCGATGTAGCATGATTAAAATTTTTCTTTCTATATTACCATCTTTCTAAATTCATGTCATAATGCCACTTTAGCATACTAAAACTCTCCGATTAAATCATAAATTTGATTAATTAGTTACTATATTTATAAGAAAAAAAATGAGCTGTCATCGACAATGACAGTTTCCTGTGTACGTACGTACAATCCAAACAAATATAAATACGCATAAATTTATTATCAGGATTAGAGTATATTCGAAGTTAGAATTAGCGAAAGA